AATCAATGTTGAAACCGGTTATGATGCTTAATATTTTTTGAGTAAATTGGGACTTTTTCAGGATTCTTTGAGGAATAGAAAGCTCATAAGAACAGCATTTATTTTAAATATTTTTTGTAACAATGTAAATGCCTTTAATCTTTGAAAGTATATGAAAGTATATGAATAAAAATGTCATCAGTGTACCTTTAGTGTACTGATTGATAAACTGATCATTATATAAACAGTGGGATGGTAGCATACAGATAAACATAGGGCTGAAAATCAAATCTACATCTATCTGATGTAGATATTTTACCTTCCTTATATTTTCTAACATTCTGAATGCCCTACTTCACACACTCTATACCACGGCATCGCACACAAAATCAAAGTGATGTTTCTCATGAATACTCAAATCCGCAGGCTTCAAACGCTGTGCTGTATGTGTGTGTGCTGCTGATTGCTGAAGGGGCTGCAAAGATTCAACAGCTGACAAAATTCTCTTTTAAAGTGTAAACCAAGCAGGAATCCTAAAACGATCCATTCAAGTGAATGGATGTGCATGTGTCTGCATTATGATCTTCTCTTTCTCTCTCTCTCCCCCTACTCCACCCTCTATCTTACCCATAGAATGAAACCAGCTTTTTTATGTTATTTATTTTTTTGCTGCTGTGCCTTTAAAGGGTTAGTTCACATAAAAAAATGAAAACTCTGTCATTAATTACTCACCCTCATGTCGTTCCAAACCCATAAGACTTTCGTTCATCTTCGAAGCACAAATGAAGATCTTTTTGATGAAATCTGAGAGCTTTCTGTCCCTCCATTGACAGCTACGCAACTACCACTTTGACGCTTCAAAAAGTTTTTTAAATTGATCGTAAAACTAATCCATATGAATTGAGTGGTTTAGTCCAAATTTTCTGAAGAGACTCGATGATTTTATATAATGAACAGATTTAATTTAGGCTTTTATTCACATATAAACATTGACCAGCGAATATAAACAGAAGCTCAACCGAACCTGCTTGACGCGCGAGAACAAACCTCTTACGGAAGCTCAAGCGTGCTGCAAACACGAGAATGAACCTCATTGGTTTTTGCAGAAGCTCAAACGTGCTGTCTAACACACAAGAATAAACCTCATTGGTTCTTGCTGAAGCTCAAACGTGCTGTCTAACACACGAGAATAAACCTCATTGGTTCTCACACGTCAAGCAAACATGCTTGAGCTTCCATTCACCACAATGTGAGTTGATGAATGTTTATTTGTGAATAAAAGCCTAAATTCAATCTCATCATATAAAGCGATCGTGTCTCTTCAGAAAATTTGGACTAAACTGCTCAATTCATATGGATTAGTTTTACGATCTCTTTATGATCTTTTTGAAGCGTCAAAGTGGTAGTTGCGTAGCTGTCAATGGAGGGACAGAAAAGCTCTCAGATTTCCTAAAAAAGATCTTCATTTGTGTTCAGAAGATGAACGAAAGTCTTATGGGTTTGGAACAACATGAGGGTAAGAAAATGTCATTTTCATCATGTAAATGCTCTCGTCATGTGAAATGACATACAGTGCTTGGTTATTTATTTTATAGTTTACCTTCGGGTCCAATATCAACCTGCTTCACCCCTAAATAATTTTTCTTTTTTTAAATGTATATAATTTAATTACGTCACACATTTGGAACAACATAAGCATGAGTAAATGATAACAGAATTTTTATTTTTTAGGTGAAATATCCCTTTCAAAGTGTATATTTTCTATTGAAACTCTTTTTTTGTCTAATTTCTAAAACCCAAATTCCGTATCAATTAGTCAAAAACAGCAAAAAGCTCATCATTTAGCTCTTCTCTGGTACACGGCACCATTAGCGTGAGTCTCACAGGCAGGATTTAGAATGTGGTACTTACATCAACTGTGTGACTCCCTTCGCACTGACTACGCGTGAAGCATTGTCCACAGGGGCCATTTCTACCGATACGGCCCTGATCTACACACAAGATAAACACTCCCCAAATGGGATATCAGTGGCCCCCGAGCCTTGTTGCATGAACAGGGCTCAGCTAGCAAAATCTTTCGCTCAATGCAGACACTCATTCCACAGAAAGTAACATTCTTACTATTGCTCATTCACTTTATGACTTTCCTCACTGCATCCGAATATACCAAATTCACATTATTCATTAAATAGCAGGCAAAAAGTCTTTGAATTTTTTTTTCTTCAAAAAGTCGATTCTGAAGTGCACATCCTTTTGATACGTTACTATCCCACAAGGCCATGGGGAAGGATTTGGGAATGGCAGTAAAGCGATGCGACTGACACCGTAAGTCACATGACACTGACAATATAGCAATGATATAGCAAACGTAGTACATTCATACTACAAGGAACATCCTTGTAAGTTCCAAATCAAATGTAGTACCTACTCAGTATGCGATTTCATTAGCAGCTTTCGTGTACACACTCATAGGCACTGCTACACAAAGCCCCCCTGTGTGTGTTTTGATTGAGACACATGGCCAGAGAGGGGAAAAAAAGAGCTCAGTAGTGAAAAGATCAGGAACAATAGGGGGCCAGAGGTGCCAATCTGGAATTTCCATCACGTAGCTACAACTACCGACATGGCAAATCATTTATTGAGGAATAAAGCACTTAAAACCTATTTTGGACCTGATATCAAACCCAAAGCCAAGCACTGTATGTCATATCACACGAGAAGAGGGCATTTAAAGGGATAGTTCAAACAAAAATTAAAATTCTGTCTTCATTTACTCACCCTCATGTCGTTCCAAACATGTATGAGTTTGTTTCTTCTGTTGAACACAAAATAATATATTTTAAAGAATGTTGGTAACCAGAGAGTTGACTTTCAAGTACATATTTTGAGGAGGCACTGCTATGCATGACGAAATGAACTGGTTACGTCTCTTTCTAAATAATGCTATTAATTCTAACTGCATTAAAATGCATAAAACCACAAGCATCACACATGCTTCAGAACATGTTAACAGATTTTGATACATATCTGAATATGTCCATTTTAATGAGTCCTTAAATAAGGAACATAATTAAGGAGTTCAATTGATGTTTAGACCTTTGAGGGAAAAACATGCAGATTATGCGACGAAACCACAAGGCTGTTTCCGTTGCATTGTGCCCTGTTAATGTATTCCCAACGCATCAAAGCAGCTTTAATCTCAGACCTAAAACCATGTTTCATGTCATCCAACTAAGGAGTCATCAAAGGGGCCTGAACAAAAGTTGACATCAATCCGTGAGAAACTAGAAAGGATCATTCGATATAATAAATTACAATATTCTCAGTAAATTAATACTTCTATTCAATAGCTATATGGGATCAGCTTTGTTCATTCAGGCCTGGAGATTCACACACCTGTACTGTTCAAACACGCATGCGGTTTTATTATTTACACCTGAGACCCTCTGTAGACCCCCACAAATTCCCTAAAGCAAGACTAAATCGTGTTAATCACAAATGGCATTGGATTAGAAGATTTCAAACCAGTTTGTCAAGCTTTGTAAATGGTTAAAATGTAAAATATTATGACATTTTTTACACTTATAATAATAAAAAAAGAGTAAATATACTATGACATATTATTTAAATTAATTAAATATAAAATAATATTACTGGCAACAAAATTGCTCTTCAAAGATAAGACACTTTCAAGACACTTACTGTTGACACCACGCATGTTAGTGTCAGATTTTGGTGACTACTTGAACTGCAATATGATCATAAAATATGACTAATAATAAAAATATATATATTATTTTATTTATTTATTTTTTAAATGAGATGATGTTCGCCAAAGATTAATTGTAGTTTACACGCTACAAATGCTGTTGGGTAGTAACACACCAGGTACATCAACATCAAGATTAGTCGATTGATAGCAACACAATTGGTATCTAGAAGCCTTGTAAACAATTTGTAACACACATTAACTGATCATGCTTTTATGAATGTACTAATCTCTCGTATAGTGATAATGGATTAGGGTAAATATCCTTACCTTTCTTAGGCGTTGCGAAATCATTCAGTGTCTTATCTCGGTACGTGTCATTGGCCTGAATGTGATGCGTGAGGACTCCAGGCACCATCACAGGCCAAGTGACGGACAGCTTCGTTAACCAATCGCATCTCAGGGCGGGATTAAGGGGTGTCTTAAACCAATAGGCTATTCGGACATTTCTTAGACAGACCAAAAAATGTGGGTCTTTTGAAATTGGCTAAAAATATACAATACGTAAAAATAGTTAAAATGGACGGCTATAGTTTTCTAAAAAACAACAAAAACAGTCACTTACCTTTTAGTGTAATTTAGCACTATCCTAATCAACGTTTATAAAGTAACAATTGAATATTACTGATGGTGATCCTATAAACCAGTGGTATTCAAACTTTTTCATCCCATTTGCAAGTAAATATAACCACCCACTTTCAAAATATAAAAACAGCTATATATTTGTATCATTTATTTATAAATAACCAGTTAAACTATGTGAGAAAAACAGTAAAAGTTGTGAGAAAACAAAATGCTTCCATGTTGGCTTCTGCAAGAAGCACGGATTATAAAAAATAATAAAATTAACGCATAAAACATATTTAATAAAACTACATTTTGTAATAATCATATTTTTTAGGCTCCCCACTGTCCAACACGCTATTCAAAAAAAAAAAAAAAAGGTCTTCCTGCAGCCCTCTTAGAAGTTTGCCGATGACCCCCCTGGTTGAAAACCAGCGATCTTGAGGTTTCCTGACGGCCGGGCCAATGCACCTCAATTTAACCCATGTCTGCTTCAGCAGTAAAGAGTTGCTTCATGTCCCAATTATTAATGTCACTACTCAAAATTGGCTCAGGGTTTCAATTTGTGACAAACATTTCACAAGGTTACAGACATTCAGATTTCTCTCTCCTCTAGCATCTGCATGATCACTGTAATTCAGCATTGACTGAATGAGAAAAAAAAGATTAGAAACAACCCAGGACTGCATTTATGTTTCTCTGGAGTATTTGGGAACACATTTTGCACTTTTTTTTATTTTATGAAAATAAGCTTCTTACACACACTATAAACATACATCCAAAAACAAAAAAACATTTCTTCAACCCCAGAAACAGTCTTGGCGACGTGCACTATTCTTGAAATCAATTACATCTCTTACTATTCTTATCCACAACATACATTAAAAGCATGACTGAACCTGTGATCAGATTTATAGAGACACTGCTTTCAGAGAATTGATACGCAAAGCTGAAAGAAATTAAGCAGGTGATCCAGCTTTGTTGGATGACACTAGAATGAGCATTACTGTATAATTTTAAGGGGTGGGAAAGGAGAAAAGGCCTGGTTAATCTCCCCATTTCATTCTTAAAGTCTCCATGCACAGCAGAAGCCTTTCATACATTTGCAATCTTTTCTTCTTTCAAACGGTCCACGGCCTCTTGTTTAACGTCACAGTCTGCTGGTTCTGCAACAGTCACCTGTGCTATTTGGATGTCCATTGCTTGCTCTTTCAATCTCTCACCGTCTACTTGTAAAACCACTGTCTCTTCCACCCCACCTTCCGTCTGAGGCTTCTCTTCCTCCACCACTAGAGTCTCCTCAACAGCAACAACATCCACTGGCTCCACAGTAACATGCTCCACCCGTATGCCATCCTCCAATATAACCCCCTCCTCTCCCTCCTCATACTCTGCCATAGTCAAGACTGTGGTTGGGTCTGAAATCAGGACTTCCTCTGTGACGATAACCTTCTCCTGTAAGTCGTGGTGTTCTTGCAGATGAGTATGGAGGTCTCTGGGTTGTGTGAACCACTGATCGCAGAGGGTGCAATGATTGGGTTTCTCACCCGTGTGGGTCACCAAATGGTCCTTGAACTGCTCCCAACTATTGAAAACACTGCTACAGACCTGAGGTGCGAAAAAAAGATGAGTGAATAGAAATACAAGTGAATAGGTCTGCATGAAAGATACGCGACATAGCGTAGTGTCATTATATAAAATGCATACATCGCGTTTCTGAGTGAAGCACTGAACAGTTCTTGCACCCTAACAGCTCTTGCTCTGGTGTTTTTAGTGTCTGATAGAGGCTCAGATCACAAATGCTGCTCTACACAAACTCATCTCGGCATGTTCTGTGAGTTTTGGTCACTTATAATGTGCATTTGGGACGGCAACACGCACCATCTATAAACCCAAAACGCTTATAAATCAGTTGTCAACAATAGATAACATTTAATAACCTTAAGCTTTGACATTCAAAACTGACGATGTTAAGACAACCATTAATATTAGCATTGTGATTTTACAGCTGTACTCTCAACTAAATTATATTTTAGTGTAATATTACACATTTTACAGTACAAGGACAGGAAACCCAGAGTTTAAATCATAAATTGCCATTTTTTTTCAGAAAGTTTGGTATATTAAAATACATGTTTGGACAATATGTTATTGGTTAAAACCAACCTGGCATTCATAGAGCTTCTTTCGCCCTTTTTTGGCTCCAGAGCCATTTTGACACGCTGACATGTGGCACTTCAGCGTACTATTCCTGGCAAAACGTTCATGGCATTCTGGACACTCAAAGGGTTTCTCACCTACACATATATGGATAAGTGAAAAACTGATTAGATATTAAACTTGAATACATTTATTAAGATACATTTTACCTCATAATAACTCACTCACACACCTGTGTGCTTCCTTAAATGCTCTTTGAAATGTCCAAAATGATCGAACTGCTTTTCACAGTACTCGCAAACATGCACTTTCTTTTTCTGCCGTCGGGACTGTTCCTCTGCATCAAAATGAGAATTATTCAGGTGCTGTTTAAGGGCTCCTTCCCGAGCATATACTTTGCCGCAGTGCCTGCAAACAAAGCCCCTATCCGGGGTAGCGGTGTGAGTCTTCAAGTGCTGTTTGAGGTGGTAGTAGAGTTTGAAGCAGCGCTCACACTTGTCACAACGGAAAAGATTGTCCAGCTGAGAGATCTGGACCTCCACCACTTCAATATTCTCCAGCGTCTTGGAGGCAATCACAGCCTCTTCCGGCACGACTACCGTCTCATCCTCCTTTTTCATCACATGGAGTATCGGCTCTTCCTGTTGGTACTTGCTAGTGATATCAGCCAGCAAAGCCAACGCGGAGTCATCCGAAGACGGTTCGGTGGAACTCCTGGCAGCATCCACTACCTCCACCAGACCGCTTTCCTCTACCTCGATATGTTCCTCATCAACCTCCACCTCGATTTCAACAGATTCAGTCTCCACTGAAGGAAGAGTCTCAGTGATGACATTGAAGGTCTCTGCGATCTTCCTCTTCTTAGCCTTGCTCTTTCCAGTCAAGACCTGGGGGGGGTTTAATGAGGTGGTACCATTCCTTCTAGGTGGGAGAAGAAAAAGAATTGTTTAATAATAAACTTCAAGATCAAATCAAGCAGAAGAACTTTTTTTGAGAAAGTAGAATAGGTGAGTAACCTGTTGTTCAAGGCTTTAATTGCCTCCTGCATTTGAAGGTACTCTGCTGCTCTCCAGACATCACAGACTTCTTCCTCACCATCCACAGCTAATGTAGCCGTATAAGTGAACTCCATTAGGTGGCGGAAGGCGATGTTGCCAACACCTGTTCATTGCAACAGAAATATTCAAGTAATATTATTTGAGCATATAACATTCTGGAGTAATTTTTTGATTTTCACTATCGGGGCTGGGGGTACGTAATGTGCAACAGCAGTAATGTGTGCATGTTTTGTCAACTGGTCCACTTGGAACCAAAAACATGAGGTCCAACCTGAGCGGATTCAGGTCTGATATTAGTAGCCTCTGGTTTCTGGTAAAACAAATGTGTTTTTTTTACACAATGGTCCCAAGAATATCTGAAAATCTGCCAATCATAAAATATGCCAACTTTCCATTATTTATTTTGGGCGTTTAACAAAATATAATTAAAAAAATAATAATAATTCTGTGATAATGTTAATCCCCTTTCTTCTCAGCCAATCTATGCTTCTTTGCCTGAATTTATTTATTTATTTATTTTTTTAACACCATGCCAACATCCCAGCTTCTGTGGCTATTTTCATGGCAAGAAAAAATCTATAGTAAACTAAATCGGTTTTTAAAATCAATTTTCGCTAAAACTCTCTATATATATATATTTGATTTAACTTTGTTAAAAAAAAAAACTTCCAAAATGTTAACTGAATAAAAAAAGATTTCTCGAGGTATTAAAACCAGCAGAAAAGAATAAAATTAATTTAATCTACAAATAAGGTAGGAAGATAGGCATACATTTAAAACTACACCTCCCATGGTGTTTCTTATTTGTCTTCTTTATTTTGGTCATAGCCAATTGAAAAAGTCCTCTCTCGCCACTGGTGTGCAGGGCTTCAGGCTGTGTAGATGTCACAGTTTTTTGCATTTGGGTCTAGCATGTAAAAAAAAAAAAAAATTGTTGTCGGGTCAGACTATGGTCTAATTTTATCAGGTCTGTCGTAGTGATTTTTTTCTTTAAGCAAATTATTTTGTTGTTTATTTGCTCTATAACAGGCCAAACTGGCCTTAAACAAAACATTTCTGTAGCCATTTGAAATTAGAGGCAACCACTGCATTTTAATCACGATCCAAAAAAAGATGTTGCACACATGTAGCATGAGCAGTTGTTTTAGAAAACAGCAGACAAACTGAATGAAAATGCAAATTTACTCTCTGACAGTAGGTGGTGCTTATGGAACAGCAGTTGGTTACATTGGTTACCACTGTACATAAAGCAGCACTGCGCTTATAAATGCTACTTTATACGGAGATAAGAGGAAAATAAAATGCCATAGAAACTTTTCTGAAGACAGACAGTTCCCTTCAGAGATACATTCATATAAACCCCCACCCCCAATTCAATATTTATTTTTCTTCCCATTTTTGCTCTTTTTTACGTTCGTCTTTACAGCGTCTCTAGCCAGTGTTAATGTGCTGTTTACAGGATTAGCAAATATACTTCTTGAGATAATATAAATATCTAATTACTTAATATACAGATAATATATTGAGATATTCTTTGAGTTGAAAACATTAAACAAACAAAAAAGCATTTAAGCTGAAGCATAACAAATGGAAAAAAACGCTAATAAAGCAGACTGCGATTTATTAGCGTTATCTGGCAGAATGTACTTATACACTCAAGTCAGCATTTGGTTATCGTTTCCACGTTGATCCACTTGATAATTTTGATCAAAGTAATTGCAAATTTCTCTGCACCTTGAGGCAGACGATGACATTCTGTGAATACAACTTAACAAGCTCCACAGCACCACCCAGTGCATTTAGTTATATCTGAGTTTTAGTTTGCATGCTTAGGATTTCACTGCATTTACGGCCAGCAAAGCAACATATGTAGCAAAATTCGAATAGTATTTTTATTATGCAAATAACAATCACAGATCGAATATTCGACTATTTATGCGTACACCCCTAATTTCCAAACAAATTACATTTTGGGAAATTATTGCAATGCAGTTTGTGCGCAGGTACGGAATAGAGATTTATCAAAATGAAACTAAAAACCGTGTGTTTGGAGCAAAAACCAGTCAGTTCCTATTTACGGCCGGTCGACCAGTGCGTCTCTAGTCCTGGCGGCTCTTAGGACCCAAGAAGACCTCTACTGAAGTAGGCCTATATCTGTCTTCAATTAAAAAAATTCTGCCAACAAGCAGAAAACTATACTGTGTTGCAGAAAGGCATTCCAGTTTAGACCGCTTTGCTGATTAAAACTGCCATTATCCAGGAAAAAAAGGCCACAAGGTAATAATATACTCTTCATTATGACAAGAATATATAACCATTTTTGGTTACATACAATTGTATGTATTGTTAGGTACCTTCAATCTCCACTAGAGGCTCTTGAGTGAAGTCCTGGAAGAATTTGTGGAAAAACTGACTGCATGCAGCCAAAACAGCTTTGTGGGCCCTAAACTGATGTCCTGTTAAATAACCAGAAATCATCAGCACCACCGAATATGTGCAACTTTTAATTTAACTGTATAACATTTAGCATAATTCAGAAAGGCATTAGGTTAAGAGGAACAGAGACAGGAAACCTTACCATCCACAATGAGAGTGATGTCTGTGAACTGATCCAGCTGACGCTGCTCATTCAGTTTGTCAAGCATCACTTTATAATGGGCTGGAAACTCATGCCCATAGTCAACATCTCCATCAACTGACATGGTTCAGCCCTTGCCCTGCGCATGCAAGTACTATGAAGAAGGGGGGGGGGGAAACATGATGGAATAAGAAAATTATTGGCGTATAGTATTTATGTCATAATAATAATAATAATAAAGAAATGAAGATGCATGCAACCTCTTGGTAACAAAAAGCAGTTACAATTAGCTTTTTTTTTTTTTGGGCTGCAAGATTAAACCGTTAAATGTCAAAGCATTTTTAATGCAAGGCTATTTATCTGGAATCTTTAACATAATTATTTCATTCAACACAGATAATGCTTTTAGATAAATTAGGCACATACTTTGTAATGGCCCCTATGCCAACAGATCCATAGATTAGCGGGCATATCTAAGCAGTATGCCGAATAAGCGCGCATTTCTACAGGGAGCTTCTCTACGCAAGACTGGCAGCTTTACACCCAGCGGGTTTACTGCTGCAAAAGCCACGTACTTCAACAGCCCAACCGTATAGAGATCCAACAGAAAAATACAAACGGCAAAAGAAGCACTGTGTGCAGGTCAGCTTCATGTTACTCGCACGCTAGGCCTGTGGCTGCTAACGCATTCGCCATTTGTTTTCTGGACCATTGTCGTTACGTCATCAAATCGCGCATTAAAATGCTATTTTAATCAGACAAATTCCCTTTCGGCTAAATAATGAGTGACGCCGGGCGTCTAACGCTCCGGAGAACTTACCCCGGGTGACGCTTTGATGCTTATTACGGTGGTTTATACGCGTTGGAGGCCTGAAGCGATCAATGTGCTGTGTTTTTCCTCCGCTCGTCGAAAAAGGGCGGTCGTTCTACTCTGGCCTCGAGTTCCCATAAGCCCTTGCGCATGAGTTTTATCGCGCGAGGCTGATAGGTGGCGTTTACCAAAGCAACGGTGCCCAACAACGACCCGTTATGTTCAAGTATGGAAAAGGTAAATAAGATTCAGATTCAGATTCATTCTTTATTGTTTTCACAGACTGTACTGTACCAGGAGTAACATTCAACACGCATAACATGCACATACCACACATAATTGTGTACACATAAATAGACATAATTGCAAATAAAAAATAAATAGCTGCTAAATGTTTTTTTTTTTACAGTAAATAAATTAGGCATTCTGTGAATTCAACGCTCTTATAGCTGAGAGTACAAAACTTTTCCCTAGCCGTGATTTTTTAGCTCACTGTCTATCGGCGGCCTAAGGGATGAAGGGTAAAACATGAGTTAAGAGGGTGACTATGGATTATGTATAATGGTGTTTGCTCTACGAATGGTAACTTAGCAGTGTCAGTGAGAGCTGACAAGTTGGGTGTGGGAAGACCAATTATTTTTGAGGAAGTGTTAGTGATTTTAAGGAGCTCGTTTCTATTAGTGAGGGAAAGCAGTGAAATAGCAGATGGCCCAATACAGGAGGATGGGTTCAATGATAAGAAAAAATCTTGGTGTGGTTTTGACTGAGAAAGTCCTGAGTTTTATGTATGACAAATAGTCTCTGTTGACAGCGCCTATGCATGTCTGTGATGTGCAGAGCCGGACAGTAACGGAGTACATTTACTTGAGTACAGTACTTACAATTTTGAGGGATCTGTACTTTACTCGAGTATCATTTTTGGGGAGTACTCATGACTTTACTCAAGTACATTTGAGAGGCAAATATTGTACTCTTTACTCCAATACATTTCTATCCATAACCGTGAGTACCCGAGTAAAAAAAAATAAAAATTCTCGGAAACCCTCAATTTGTTGTTTCCCTCTCAAACGTGATTGGATTGTGCAGGCGCCACTGATTGGGACAGCCTATCAGCAATCACTTTCAGCTTTCCGCCAAAGTCAACTCCATGGTCAGATTTTATATTCCACATTAATGTAAGCCAAGCATTTGGTTTGATGTTCTTGAGTATGTGGTGTGTTTAACACAGTCAGGTTCAAATGTGGCAGTGGCGTAGCCACGAGGGATTTCTGATTTCTTAAAAAAAAAAACTTTAGGAGGCAAAATATATTTTTACTGATTATGTGAATTACACTGCGCAAACCAAAGTAGGCTACTACCCAGCGAATGAAGAAGGGTTGGCGCTCAGTCTCCACAGTACATAAAATATTCATTTTGTTTTATTTTATTTTTCCGGTTTGTATTTATGAGGAAAAAACAATGTTATGGACGTGTTCTCCGTTACGGACGTGAGCGCTCTGAAAGCGGCATAAAAAATGCTTTAAAACTTTCACAGAGACCTCAAACAGAAAACACAAAACCTTTCTTTAACCTGAATTTCGTTTTGCATTAATTGTATCTTAATTTTAATCAATGTTTCATCAACCAATTGGCTGGGTTTAATAAATTAGAAGTAAATAGCAGACGATAGATAAGAAACGGAGGCGCCGGCCTGTGAACTGGATCTCGTCTCATAAATGAACCGAAACTCAGTGTATAAGGTAGCCTACTTGCCTCTCACAGACATGTCTACTTTTAAACAGAAAAAATCAAAACGAAAGAAAACAGACTACAGACTGCTCTCTGCTTATGTAATCCGTATGAAATGTGCATTTCTCTCTGGCGTGTTCACTACTGAAGATCGCGAGTCAGCATCGTCAACTTCATCTAGCCGACACTGACAAAGAAAACACTTGTTTATTAACAAGTGTTTATTAATAAACAATTAAAATATCTCCTTGCTATATTTTACATATTCATAATCATTCCTTTTGCCGGTTCTATGTGACAGCTTTTAGGTGCTTTATTGGCAGCGCCACCCTTACGTGTGTGTGTGTGTGTGTGTGTGTGTGTGTGTTGTCCCCGCATTTAAAGATGGGACCCCCAAAAATTTAATTAAATTAAATAAAGCAACATGGTAAAAAGATGAAAATGACTTGATTTTACTTTCAATTCCTTTTACATTCTCCAAGGTATTAACATTAACATTTTTCATAACTCCATGTAGGACGTTTCTGTGCATAAATGTAAGCACTGTGGCAGTAGATTACTAATGCAATATTTAGAAAATCTACTCTTGTACTCTTGATACTCAAGTACTTTTAAAAACAAGTACTTTAGTACTTTTACTTAAGTAGACATCTGAATGTAGTACTTTTACTTGTACTTGAGTAAAATTTAGCAAGGGGTATCTGTACTTTTACTCAAGTAACAAAGCTCTGTACTCTGTCCGCCTCTGGTGATGTGATGGTAGGTAAATAAGTAAATAATATTGTCTGACAATTTGATTTGGGTTAGAAAAAAAAGTTATTTAGGCTATAATGTGCTCTATATTTACATTTTACAAACTAGTTAAGCATTATACGAAAGCCAATCAAAGCCTTGTACATAGACTACTCTTTCAGCCTCAAATTTTATTTATTTACTTATTGTTAATTGTAGGCTACAACACAAGAAAGGGAACAACCAAGACCCTATATGCCAAGACCAGATCTGCAAGTTTTATGAAGATATATTTTAGACTAAAGAAAAATTGAAGGGAGCACAATACGTCAATGTGTTCTCTAAATGTAAATGTCTAGGGAGAAACACAATGAGTTCTGTTAGCAACGATTCAGAGTTTGAATATACAACTTCCAAAAGATATAATATTTTAATTCATTGGACCAAAATTAAAAGCTTGAATAGCTCAGCTTTCAGCCACTAGAATAGTTTTTCCACAGAATTTGTGTCTGGTTTTCCAGTGCAAATGTCTACAGATTCTTAAATTAAGATTATAAATGACATTAAAAAAAGTCTACAAATTCTTAAATCAAGATTGATAAATTACATCAAATATTAAATCTTTTTTTTTTCTGTGAAACTAAAGTGAGTTAAAACAAGAACAAACATCTGCCAATGAACATAAATCTACTTAATTCAAAGGGAAGTTTTCATCACTCATTGACAGATATTTGTTCTTGTTTTTTTAAGCATAAACTAACTTTGTTTTGTTCAATTTTTCATTAGTTTACATTTGCATCTCAAGTAAATGTATCTTGATTTAAAGATACTTTTTTTGCTATGCTTGCAACATTCAATGCTATGGCTAAAGTATAGACTTTACTTATGCCATGAAACAGATTTTAATAATGGGGAAATATCTCTTCTTATTTAGCAGTGAAACCTTATCACAAATAGGCACCTTTGTTGGAGTGTGATTGTCATCCAATATAGTTGCTTCTGTTTAAAAACACAAATAATTATAATAATAAAAATACACAAATTATCAGAATTTAAATTAAATCAGAATTTATTTCAACGAAAATATTTATTCTGATCAGTTAATTGTTGAAAATGAATTGTAGCTATATGTTGTAATGTAATTTGTGAGAGATTTTTTCCAATGCATATACAGGTCCTTCTCAAAAAATTAGCATATTGTGATAAAGTTCATTATTTTCCATAATGTAATGATAAAAATTAAACTTTCATATATTTTAGATTCATTGCACACCAACTGAAATATTGCAGGTCTTTTATTGTTTTAATACTGATGATTTTGGCATACAGCAAAAAATTAGCATATTTCATCCGACCAATAAAAGAAGTGTTTTTAATACAAAAAAAGGTCAACCTTCAAATAATTATGTTCAGTTATGCACTCAATAGTCAATACTTGGTCGGGAATCCCTTTGCAGAAATGACTACTTCAATGCGGCGTGGTATGGAGGCAATCAGCCTGTGGCACTGCTGAGGTGTTATGGAGGCCCAGGATGCTTCGATAGCGGCCTTAAGCTCATCCAGAGTGTTGGGTCTTGCGTCTCTAAACTTTCTCTTCACAATATCCCACAGATTCTCTATGGGGTTCAGGTCAGGAGAGTTGGCAGGCCAATTGAGCACAGTAATACCATGGTCAGTAAACCATTTACCAGTGGTTTTGGCACTGTGAGCAGGTGCCAGGTCGTGCTGAAAAATGAAATATTTATCTCCATAAAGCTTTTCAGCAGATGGAAGCATGAAGTGCTCCAAAATCTCCTGATAGCTAGCTGCATTGACCCCTGCCCTTGATAAAACACAGTGCAGCAACACCAGCAACTGACATGGCACCCCAGACCATCACTGACTGTGGGTACTTGACACTGGACTTCAGGCATTTTGGCATTTCCTTCTCCCCAGTCTTCCTCCAGACTCTGGCACCTTGATTTCCGAATGACATGCAAAACTGAGCAACAGTCCAGTGCTGCTTCTCTGTAGCCCAGGTCAGGCGCTTCTGCCGCTGTTTCTGGTTCAAAAGTGGCTTGACCTGGGGAATGCGGCACCTGTAGCCCATTTCCTGCACACGCCTGTGCACGGTGGCTCTGGATGTTTCTACTCCAGACTCAGTCCACTGCTTCCGCAGGTCCCCCAAGGTCTGGAATCGGTCCTTCTCCACAATCTTCCTCAGGGTCGGTCACCTCTTCTCGTTGTGCAGCGTTTTTTGCCACACTTTTTCCTTCCCACAGACTTCCCACTGAGGAGCCTTGATACAGCACTCTGGGAACAGCCTATTTGTTCAGAAATTTCTTTCTGTCTTACCCTCTTGCTTGAGGGTGTCAATGATGGCCTTCTGGACAGCAGTCAGGTCGGCAGTCTTACCCATGATTGCGGTTTTGAGTAATGAAACAGGCTGGGAGTTTCTAAAAGCCTCAGGAATCTTTTGC